GTTTTTACGCAATTTTATAAAAATTTTTTTTTTTTTTTTTTTTTTTTAAAAAGTTTAATTTTAAATACTTTAGACATATATTCAATTTAACATAACAAATAATAAAAATTTACATACAATATTATAGTGTCCATAGTATTATTGTATAATTCAATAAAAGTATTTATTTATAATGAAGAAAAAAAAGGCCAGAAAGAAGAGAAAAAAAAAATTTAAATAAACACTATTTCAGATTGTAAAATGAAATGTTAAACATTTACCTGATTATATAGGACCAGAAATGACAAAATTAATTTAAATTGAAGTCGATTATCTTTTGAATAAACGTTACATTACAAGATACTAACTTTCAATGTTGGGATTAGACGCATCGACGGTATTTAATGGAAGTCCATGAGCAACCAGAGATCCATCGTGTGGTGGACTTGGCAATTCACCCCATCGCCAGCTTTGTCCATGAGACTTTTCCTCCTCCCCAACCTTACTCTCTTGTGTTATTTTTTGCACTTCAAATTCAGTATCAGATTGCACTGGTGAATTGGGTCTCGAGCCTTTGTCCCTAATTAATGACAATTATTATATTAATTGTTTTACATTTGAAAATTATAAGGGAAAGTTGTTTACAATACAACGATTTTGATGGAAAGAAAAATAATTTACGTACTTTGTTGTGACTTCGGTGTCACTAAAGAAATGAAAATCAGTTGATGCATGGATTACGTTTAATTTATTTAGATCATCGTCTTTAGCAGTGTCTATTATCTCATTTTGCAACACAGTTTTTGCTTCCTGTAAACATTCGCAAATTTCAGGTAATCATAATAATAATTATTAAATTAATATAATGATAATTTGAGTACTTACAGGATCAATAATATGATGTTTCTCGGTATCAGGTATACAAATTCCTTGAGATATTTTATTTTGATCACTATTACAAGATTCTGAAGTATTGTACATAGCATTACTAATTTTTCTCTGCGCAGTTTTTCTTTTCAACAGGCTCTTTCTCTTCCGCTTCCTCTTTGAAGTATTACTACCAATTTTTGTCTCGTCCGCCGTGGATTCATCTTTTGAATTTCTTTTAGCAGAAGATGATGATGAAGAGGATGATAAGGGCATATGAATATCTACAGATTCATTTACAAGTTTTTCCTTCTCCTCGTACGGATCGTTATTAAGGTTTTCCACGATCGGTCGAAAATCATTTTTCACAACACTAATTTTGCGTATTCTCTCCGATGAAGTAACCGCTACGAAAGATTTCGGATTTGCAACAGCAGGTGCTTTTAGTTTATCATCTTGATTTATGATATCCATATCAAAGATCTCTTCGTCGACATTGAACCGTGAACATTTTTCTTTATCTTCATCGTCGTTATCTTCTTCCTCTTCAATCTCTTCATCTTCGTTATCAATAATTTCTTCTCGATTTAACTATGAAAAAATTGAGATAATAAAATATTGCCATTTACTTCACATATCTAATCGAGTTTCTTTTTTTGTTAAGCAAAGAAAACTATCTAATGTATCGGATAGAATTTTTTTTAATAATTTTTTTACAAAATATTATGTACGTATGGAATAATAAGTTGATGAATAATAAAAAAGTGTATTAAATAAATACTTTAGCAGAAATTTCAGAACAAGTTTATGCGATATTTACTTTTTTTGGAGAGTACGGATGATCCTTCCGCTTCCAATCAGTCAATAATGCTTCCTCAAATCGTTGTCTCTGGTCTGCTGGCAGTTCAGGAAAATTTTCTTTAAAAAGTCTCTCTTTATCCTCTGTCTTGAGAGCTGAATACTGCTCGCTTATCATTTGTTGCTTCTGTACTGTCGAAATAGTGCCATAATATTCGTGAAATATTTTATCTCTTTCCTCTGATGTTAAGGAAGCTATTTGCAGCCATTTTTCTCTTTGCTCTAGTGGCAGATCAGAAAAATGCTCGATCAAGAAGTTTTCTCTTTCGTTAGGTGGCAGAGCTGACATTTGTTCCCACTTTTCACGTTCGATAGACATAACGGAGTCTCTAAGTATTTTTTCATGTTGCTCGTGAGGTAAATCGGAAAGAACATTGAATCTGTAACGTTGACAAATAATGTGACTTTATTAAAAAAGGTAATTTATTAAAATTCTTATTCAATACAATTGTATTTAGGTTTATTATAACATTGTCAATTGAATCGTTCATAATATATAATCTATAAATGCCTTTATCTATAAATCTATAAATATATACAATTATGTCTTATGCAATGATATTCAATAGGTTAAAAAACCCCTTGTGCATTTAGATAATATATTAGCTAAAGAAAAGTCAAGGAATGAAATAATCAAACACAAGTACAATTTACAACTATAATGCGTAAGAATTCCGTAGAAAGCTTTACCTTCTGTTGTTAGGAAAACAATCGTCATCGTTAGGAATAGGTGAACATGCTAAATGTGGAGGAATTTCAGTATCGCTGCAATTGCCATTGAATCCTTGTACTTCCTCTACGAAAAAAGCTTCGCCAGAATCACCGAGTTTCATGTGAATCTGCCTTGACTCTGAATTTATTTCAATATCAACCTATGGATTATTAAATTGAACATATTAATATTCATTTCAACTATTATGCACGACAGTAAAGAATTAATGTCAATTTCAATCAAATATTTAACATTCTTTTTACAATTACAATTAGTTACAAGACAAATTCAAAATTTATACAATCTTTTTTTAAGTATAATATAAAAACTTAATCATTCTGCCTCGAGTTTCACATTAAAATCTTTCTCGTCACATTTAACTATTTTCTTACTCTTACTTTAAAGAAACATTGATATTTGAAAGAATCCTACAAGGAATTTGCAATTTATATATGGCTTGTAATTTTTTAATACTGCGCTTGTAAAAGCTTGTGTATGTCCAGTGTGCTTATCGCGTGCATGGAAATACACTTATAGGCATAGCAGTCACACCTTCTGTCGACATCGATCCATATTAAGGTAATTCCTTTTAACTTATAGAACCTACCACTTTCTCTCTAGAACGTAGTACGCCAAGCTTTCCAAAGCGCACGTGAAATGGCGAGCAAGTAAAGGATCCATTGGGTTGTTGTATAACCACAACGTCGATGGCTCCAGTCAGCGTCGCAGCATTAATTTCATTGTAAAAGTCCCGAAAATTGCTGATAAACTTGCCAATATAGTTCATACTATACATGTTGGATTGAATAATTTTCCAACTCTTGGAATCCCTGGTCTTCCTCTCAGAAGATCCAATGAAAATTAGAGGTGTTGTCTGCGCGACCACTCTTTTGCATGTACAGTAGCCTCTGTAATTATTTTATTCTTTCCTACAAATACACAAAAGTTATCCCATTATTTAAAATTTTTAGATAATTATAATTAGCGCTTAATGAAAGTTTTAAACCGTATATAATGCTTTGGACGGTCTTGATTAATAAAGCTTGTTGGACAAAATAAGAATTAAGAAAAGATAAAATAAATGCGGAAATAGCCAACAAGAATAGCGATGAAATCCGTCTCTTTAAATTCATCGATTTTTCAGATACTTACGGCAGCTAAATGCTAATCTCAACTAACCCATTAGGAGCCTAATCATAAATACGATAATTTAGTCTCGAAATTCCCGAATCGTTATCATCATCTCGCAACTCTGCAAAAAACGTATGAATCACCCTCGTCATTTGCCGTCTTTGTATTAAATCGACACTTCTCGGACACACTGAATCGTAGTACTCGGAAAGTTTCGGCATGCGCACAGCCCCAAGCACAACCGACCTTTAAACTGCCAAAGTTAAGGTTAAAATGGATTTCCGCGTATGCAAAATTCGGACAAGCAAACACGCGCCGCAATGCTCGGAGGAAGCCTTGGAAATGCCCCGACGAGCTCGCTCCTCCGCTCCTCCTGTCAAAGCCGAGAGCATTACCGAGCGCAGCGTAAAAGGGGCATTTTCACCTTTCCCAGCTACCGAGAAGCCCCGTGTACAATATAAAAGAGGACCTTGGACTACCCCCTCCATCCGTTTTTCCGCTAGTTGGCCGCAGGATCGGCAAGTGAGATCAAGAGTGAGTGAGTGAGTGAGCGAGTGAGCGCGTGATGGTATTGTGATTGGTGATG